CAATAACAGCAATAATGAGAATAACCATTAATTAACGGCGTGGGGAGGGGGCTGGGGTGGGGGGTGGGTGCTCCAAACCCCTCTTGGGGTGGGGTGAGGACCCCTGGGAGAGGCGCCGGGCGCTGGGGGATGAGCACACGCGTGTCCATGTGCACACACGTGTCCGTGCAGGTGACGCAGGTGGCGTGTCCAGCCCGACGCGGGCGGGGGTGCAGAAGAAGACCCCCACCCAGACCCCCCCCGGGTGTGGCAGGGGCTGGGGGAGCCCCCCAGGGACGCTCCTTGGGGTGCCCCCCATCCCTTCTTGCTGAAGTTTTGGGGGGGACCCAGGGAGGGCAGCGCTGCCGGGGTCCCCCCGCTGCCTCCAGAGGGGTCTCCGGGAAATGGGGCGGGGGGGTGACAGCACCAGGAGCGTCCCGGGGGGCGGGGGGACAGCGGGACAAGTCCGGGAGNNNNGCGAGAAGTTGGGGAGGGCAGGAGACAGAAGAGGGAGGGGGGGCAGAATCGGCGACACGGCGACACCCCCGGGATGCTGAACGAGCCGGGGGGGGGCAGCACCAGGGACACCCCAAAATACGGGGCGGGGGTGTAAGATCGGAGCCGCCTCGAGCGGCGGGGCCGGTGCGGGGTCCCGGTGCCCCCGGAGCCGCCCCCCCCGGTGCCCCCCCGGCTGCCGGGATTGGCGGGGCCGCCGAGGCGCCGCCCGGCCCCGCAAGTCTCCAACTTTCTTCCCGCCGCCCCTCGCCGCCGCCGTTCCTCCCGGAGCCCCGCGATGCTCCGCCGCCGCCTGCCCCTGCTCGGGCCCGGGCTGCTGCTGCTGCAGGTACCGGCAACCCGGGACCCCCGGGGGGGCGCGGTGACCGGCCGGGGGGGCGATTACCGGGGGGGGGAAGAGGAGGGAGGNTGGGGGCCTCAGCTGTCCCCTGGTTGTGCCAAGGGCGTGAACCCCAAAACCACCTGCAGGGGCGACGCCTCATTCCTGTCCCGACCGCGTTCGGCCTCAGCCCCTGCACGGGGGGGGGGCTCAGCCCTGCCGGGGGTCTTCTCCCACCCGCCCCATCCCCACCTCACCGAGTGCCCCCCAGCCATGGGGAGGACGCGCGGGGGTCCCGACCCCCGGGAATGGACTTTGCCTGTCCCCCCCCCCATTCGTTGCTCGGTGGTACTTCAATCTCCCCAAGGCCGCTCACCCCCGCGTGTCCCCCCTCGCCACCTCCCCCGGAGCCCCTCGGGGGGTTACAGCTAGCGACAGCAGCGCCGTGGTGGTCAGGAGGGGGGGGATGGAGCCCCCCCAAGCCCAGCCGGGGGGGCCTGGGCTCATCACCCAGCAGATCTGATTTCCTGACACTCCATTTTTACTTTCTGTGTTTCATGAATAAAATCAAACGAGTCAATTCCCTCCCGGGAATTGGATGCACATCAGGGACCCCCCCCTCTCCCCTCTGCACCACCCGAACCCCCCCCCCCAAGGCAAAAGCTCCTGCAACTTGTCTCTGCCTGGCGTGGGGAGGGGGAGACGCGTGCCCGCGTGCGGGGGTGGCTCGGCGTGACCCCCCCCTCGCCGTGTCCGTCCATTGCAGAGCATCTGTCGGTGCTGGAGCTGCTTCAAGACAAATGGGTTTGTTTTGATCAAATCCGGAGCAGGGCGCTGCCCTGGCCCCCCCCGCCCCGCCCACGCAGGCGGCGGTGCTGAGGAGGGGGCACCGGGGGGGGGCACAAAGCTGGGGGGCACCGGCATGGGGTGGGCATGAGGGTGCAGGGGTTTCCATAACCCCGGGAGGTGCTCTGAGCCACGACCCCTCTGCGCTGGGGGTCCAGGACCCTCCCCCAGAGCTCCGGGAGGGGCCGGGGTCTGCCCAGCCTTGTGCCCACCTGGTGCCAGGGAAGGGTGGCAGAGCCATTCCTGCCCCTCAGCTCGTTGGGCCTGTTGGGGAGAAACTTTCCCGGTCTCTTTTGGGGGTCAGGGGGGAGCTGGATGGGTGGGAGGACCCCCCTGGCCTCCCCCCAGCTCTGGTGGGCACCCTGGACTGGGGGTCCCAGTGCCACGTCCCAGCAGGACCGTGCTGGGGGCACCGGGCCAAGGGGCAGGGGGGTCTGCACCCCCAGGACAGCAGTGACAGCCTTGTCCTTGTGCAGGAGGGAGGGACCCCCGGCGTGTGGGGGACCCCCGGGGTGTGGGGGACCCCCAGAGTGTGGGGACCACCCCCCCGTGCCGTGGCTTTGCTGGCAGTGCCAGCTGGGTGACTCTGCTGTGCCAGGATCAGCCCCTGCTGGATGGACAAACTCTGCCAGCCCCGCGGGTGCCTGTGCCCAATTTTGGGGGTGCAGCCCACCCCTGGTGGCTGCTGCAGTGCTGGCACAGGCGGGGGGACGAGCCCACCCCTGATTGCAAGTGACACCCCCCGCCCCCCAGCCCTCCCCAGGCTCCTGCGTTATTTTTATTTAATTCCTTTATTTTCCGTTCATTGAGCATTCAATTTTGGGGGTCCCTCTGGGGCACCTCGCCGCTGAGGGTCTCAGCAGCCCCCCAGGCGCACCCAGGACCCTCAGCTGGGCACAGCTGGATGGAGGAAAGGCCATTCTCCGCATCCCCTGGGGTTGTGCCAGGCAGATGCCACCCTCGCCCCGGCGTGCCCCATGCCCTGGATTTGGGGTGACCCCACCCCGCCCTGAGCAAGACTCAGCAGCCGAGGGCACTGCTGGCCCTGGATCGGGCAGGAACAGGCTGGAACGGGCAGGATGAACCAGGGTGGGGTGGCCGAGTGCCACGGCAGGAGCAGGACGGGCACAGGGGTGTCCTTCCTCACCCGCTCCATGCCCGCTGCCTTTGCCAGGCTGTGCCCAGCCACACCCGCTGCGCCCCTGCCTCGGTTTCCCTCCTTTTTGGCACACAGGCAGGTGAGGCAGCGGCTGTCTGTGAAGCACCTGAGTGTTGCTGGCAGGTTTTCCGTCTCGGATTAACCCTTCGCAGGAAAATCCTGCCTTGCTCTGCCGGTGGCCATGCCAGCTCCGCGGAGCCTGGCGCCCCGCGATGCCAAACTCATCCGCTCTGTCCCTTCCTTCGCCTTGCTGTCACCCAGGAGCTGTCTCCTGACAGATGGCTCTGCTCTGAGCAGATGCTGCCGGCCCTTTCCACGCAAGGCCACCCCAATCCCACCTCCCCAGCTCCCATTTTTGGGGAGAATTCACCCCGAAATGAATTCGGGCTCGGAGGCGCGCACCGCATTCGGGGCCAGAAGGGAGAGGATGTGAGGTTTGGGTGGTGCTGAGCCGGGGGTCCCCGGGGGGTGCTGAGCCCCAGGGCTCGTCTGCAGCCAGCCGGTGCCCGGCCGGTGCCCGCGGGGCCGGGATGGGCTCGGTGCCTCCCCCGGTGCCGCTCCTGCGGCTCCCCGAGCCGGCCGCCGATGCGGCGGGTGCTGTGTGCTCAGCATGGCTGAGCTAATCTATCGCCAAACAAACACACACTGTTATTCCGAAAGAAGGTTTCCAAGCGACTCATTTCCCTTTTTTTAATAACTCTTCCCTCTGGTGCCCTTTGCACCCCAAGCTGGGAGATTCAATAAGGCTGGAGCCTGGAGCGTGGCTGGCGCAGCCTCGGCGAGGAGGGGGAGCAGCGGCCGGAGAGGGGGGGGCGCCCAGGGGTGCCCCCCACCCACCCCTGCGCTTCCCGGTGCCGATCTGGCTCCAAACCAGGTCCGGTTTTATTGCTTTTTCTTTTTTTTCCCCCCTCACTCTTGTTTTTAATTGCCAGTTTTCCTCTGGGGACTGGCAGAGGTGGCCGAGCTGGGATGGGGAGGGGAGGGGGGGGGCGCAGGATGGGAGCGACAGCAGCCCCCAGCTGAGCCCCCACCGCTAATCACCCCCTTGCCAATTAACACACCCGGATTAACGACTTCTCCCGCCCTTTCTGCATGCACAGCTCCTCCTCTCAAGGAGCCGGGGTCCCCCCCGCAGGCGGTGGCCCCCGAGCTTGGGGTGACACCGAGCTGAGCCCCCCCGGCCTGGCCGAGCTCCAGCCTCTCCTCGGTGCCTGGCTCAGCCTTCGCGCTCGGGCGCTGGAGGTAAATGGCCCAGGAAAGATGAAGCTTCCTCTCCCGCCGCTTGGATTGCTGCTGAAGGAATAATCACATCCCCGTGTCCCCCCCTCCCCGCTTTTTTTTTTTTTTTTCTTTTTTTTTTTTTTTTTTTTCCCTGTTGCAAAAGGAAAGTCATTGTGGAGGAACAGAGCAGGGACGCGAATCAATCCCGAATCAATTCCCGCTGGGCACGGATCCCGTGTGACCCCCGGGGTTGATGTCACAGCGGGGGACACCCCCTCGTTGTCCCCTCAGGGCCAGCAGAGCAGAGCCTGTGCAGGCAGAGCAAAGCCTCACCTGGCACCTGCAAGAGCTGGGTGAAAAAGGGGCTGGGGGGCATCACGGGGGTCCCGGGGGGCTGCAGGGACACGCTGTGCCCTGCTCCTGGTGGCAGCCAGTGGGTCGCTGTCCTGGTGACCCCAGAGGAGCTGCGGTCCCAGGGATGCCCTCGAGGGTCCCCAGCGCTCCTGGGGGGTCTCTTGGAGGGTTTTAATTAAAATCTGCTGAGGGGGGGGTGTGGGGACAGCGTGTCTTTGCTGCTGTCCCCACTTCCCGGGGGGGACAGAACCCAGCTGGCACTGGGAATGTCGGGAGATGTGCAGGGATGGGGTCTCAGCCAGGGGAGAACCCCAAAAATTAGAAACCCTTGGTTCTTTAACAATGGATTTTTGCTTTACAACTAATGATTGGTGAAAAGGTGATCCCCCAAAGTGCGGTGTTACTCCCCGTTATTTTACACACAGAAATTCAAGTTTTCAGTTCCCCCTCTCTGGTAACCTTCGCACTGGCCCTGTCTCATCCAGGGAGGTGGGAGGGGGGGCTGGGAATGGGATTTATGATTCCTCCTGATACGATCTTATAAAATTTCCCGGGCACACTCGAAATTACATTTCCATAGCTCAGGAGCAGCGATCTCTGAGCGCGCCAATACCTGCCACTTTTATGGCTACATTTATTGCAATAATAAAGTGAAACGGTGAGGCAAGGGCTGGGGGTGCTGGGGGGGAGCAGAAGGTGGGGGCTGCCTTGCTGAGAGCTTGGGGTGCCCCGATTTTGGGGGGACTGGGGTGAAGCTGCTGCCTCTCTGCTCTCACCTGCTGAAGAGCTGGAAAAGAGGTAGAGGGAACCCCACAGATTGTTCTGTTGGAGGGAAACTGAGGCAGGGCTGAGGACTGGGAGCATCTTGGGGGGCGTCTCTGGCACTGGAGATGTGGGAGTGACGTGGGACATGTCCCTGCTGGCTGTGCTCCCTTGTCCCCACGTGCCATCCCCGTGAGCTGTCCCCATGTCCTGCTCAGAGCCACCAGGAGGACCCCCCACACCCCAGCGACCCCCACAATGAGCTGGCTCCTTCTGGACTCAACCAAGAAGGTTCCAGGCCTCTGGCCAGCTCGGGGAGCTGCTGGCTGCCAGATGCCCAACAGCCACACGTCCGTGTCCCCCGCCACCCCCGTGTCCCCTCTCTGCTGCCTGCTGCCCCCCCGTCACCCCCTCTCCCCCTCCCGCTCCGTTTATCTCCTGTTTTCCCATTCTTTCCCTTTTCTCCTCCAGCCCAATGAGTCACACAAGCCCCGAATCCTTTGCCTGCTGCCGTCTCCTCCCTCCTATTATATTTTTTTCCTTTGCTCTTAACAGCACTTTCCTTTTTCACCCGTGGGGGGAGAGACTCGGGATGTACATTTTTCCCGGCTCTCCCCCCCATCCACCTCCCAGCTCCTACCTCACCGTGAAGCCCTTAAAAGTAATA